GTCACCCAGAGCCTTCAAGAGGAACTAACACTCTTACAGCCCCTCTGGCTATGATTACTATGTATATAATGGCTTAAAATCACGTTTACTGGGTATTATTCCAGACTCAGTGAAAATCTCTGCTTCTCTTTGGTTCACCAACTCCCTACCATATTGTCACATCCTGCTGTTTCTTCTAAATTCACACTTGCTACAGTGTCACATAGAAGTGTGAAAGAATTAAAGGCTGGGGTTACAAAAAGCCCACATTCCAAGCTGCATATGAAATTTCTCTCTGTGTGTGTAAGTAGCCACACCAGAAAAAAATTTTTTTAACAAGCTATGTAGTCTAAATGACACCTGCAAAAAATGTCTTAAATTTTGCAAAGTAGAATTAAGAGCACTTGCTGGAAACACATATTTGAACATATGCACTAAAGACTGACCTTGTAGTTTAACATAACTTTGTATATTCAGGATGCATTGCTACTGTTTAATACTAACCCAGCAGCAAGACTTTTAAGCATATCTGTTGGCTAAAGTTCTCTTACAATGTCATCAGAAGACCAGTGGGCAAAGAGAGTATCCCAAAGATGTGAGACCACCACAGTGGGCCCTGCTAAATCAGGAATGCTAGAGAAAGAAACCTACTGCAAACGGGAGAATCACAAGGTTGAATATTATTTGCATATTTAACAGAGCAAGTTAGTGATTTTGTTCTCTATGTAACCAATGCTCACCTCTCAAAGGCTTACTGTTAACAGACCTCATGTATATTCCTGCTAAACACTCTTGTTCTACATTTTACTTGCTTAACTCTTTCTTTACTGGAACATTAAGTCTATGACTGTAAAGTAAATTAAAAAGGTATTATCACAAAAAAAAACCACTAAAAATGGAAAAAAGTAAGGAGGAAGTAAGCATCATTACATTCCTAGACTTGTATATATGAACTACATGATATATATGCTCTTTAAAAGATTTACTTTTATTTTTTTGAAAGTCAGATTTACAGAGAGAAGGAAAGACAGAGAGAAAGATCTTCCATCTGCTAGTAGCTGCAAAGCCAAGAGCCAGGAGCTTCTTTCAGGTCTCCCATATGGGTGCAGGGACACAGGGTTTGGGCTATACTCTATTGCTTTCCCAGGTTACAAGCAGGGAACTAGACAAAGGTGGAGCAGCCAGGATACGAACTGGTGCCCATATGAAATCCTGGTGGTTACAAGGTGAGGATTTAGCTACTAGACTGCCATGATGGACCCATGACTTTTATAAACAAAGCAAGCAAGCTGCTTAAAGGCAAGTAATTGTGAAGGGGTTTGCTAGCTAAATGCTGAATTTCCTTCCAAATAATGTTAATTAGTACCAGCTTCCAGTTTGTGTGTGTGGTTGTTGGTTTTGATGTCCTTATACTTATGCTTCCTGTTGACCTTAAGAGCTTATTCCATTGTCTTTCTTTTCCTCTCCAATCCTTCAGCTCTTCTTTCCTCCATTTCCACTTGCTCTATATTGTCATCATTTTTAACCATCTCTCCTGTCATTCCTTGTCACTTCAACTATTCCTCTCCACAAATTCATTGTGAGAATAAAGAAAAAATTCGTTAAAACAGAAAATAGCTACCTAAAATATGCTACAGGAAATAAAATTGTTAGCTTTACACATCTTTGGCATATGACCTAAATGTGCTATTGTGCCTGTGTACTTGTTACAAAATACCCTCTTACTGATCCGCAGCCTCTACAAAACTAAGAAGATTTCACAAAAATATCATATAGGCCTGTCATAATTTATAAAGAAAAGTTACAAAAACTAGATTTGAATTACATCCTATTTTAGTGCAGTAAAAATATTGACTATTGAAAGAAATAATATGGCAAATTATTTCTAAAGGGAGAAATAAATTTACAAAACAAAGTATTACATTTTAAGTTCACCGGTTTCAAATATCTGGACTGTTTTATCATAGATACAGTTTGTGTAAGTAAGCATGAAGTATTTGGTAAGTGTTTTGGTAAATAGTCAATATCTAAGGCAGCACTTGCTTGTTGTTTTTTTGACCTGAGATTTATTTCTCAGAATTTAAAAAGAACAGTCAGAACATAATATTTAATTTTGTGTGATCTTTCAAAACTTGTATATTCATAAGTCACTACTTCAAGGAATTTCTCTATATGTAATTTCAGAATTAAACGCTATTATTTTCATGTGGAAATTCTAATTCCTCCATGCCTATATGTTGCTGAACTCAAAACAAGCATGAGTTGACTATTTTGTAAATAATACATCTCTTTTGAACTATGAGAGAGTTAATTTCATCATACACTGAGCACTGAAATCACAGTACATTTTATATAATACTATTAAAAAAATCTTCGTAGAACACTTTCTCAAACTTTCTTACAAAGCCCTTTTGTTTAGACATTAAGGAAAACATCTGACTTATGAGAATAAATGCATAAGCTTAATGTCTTCATTCATAGATGATGACTACTGATCCAAGGATAATCATAAACTCCTAGCTCATTGTCTGGCTTTTAATATATACTACTTTCAGTGGTTGATGGTTCATGTGTCTCTTTAATTCTGCCTTTCAAATAAAATTTTAAGAGTTAAAAAAATAAGTGCAATGTTTATATAACATATTCTGTTCTATTTAAAGTCCAAGTCAGATGACGCAATGTCATTTTACATAGTGACTTCTCAGTGGAAGTGTTCTATAAGTATGTGATAAGGATTGGTAATTGTGGTTACAATGATGTTGCTGCAAAAGCTGCTGAATGGCAGGTGTCTAACCGCCTATTATGCTGTAAATCAGGCAGGAAAGCTGGGTTGACACTAGGGAAATCAGAAACTAGCCCAAACTAGATTTTTTACTTGAAATTGGCCCTTTGTGGTAGTTATATTGAAAGTTCATGAGGGAAAAGACATGCAAATATTAACAGAAGAATTATTTAAACATTTAAAGAAGGTGTCCTCCAAAGTAAGAAAGCCACAATGTATAAGGATAAAGGCTGAAGTAAATGATTGACAGAATTTCAGTAAGTTGGTAGAAAGTGGAATTAAAAGATACATTTATTTTGGTTCAAGAAAAATAAATCTACAGGGTTTTTTTTTTAATATGGATTTTCCACAAATGCTTTGAAGGCTCCTCTATTGCACATACAAGCTATGTGTATGTGTGTGTGCTTCTTTAAAAATATATGTAGTGTATGAATTATTCCATATATGAAATTTTGGAACTTTGAAAAAGACAAAAAAAAAGTAATTTGAATCTCAGGGCTCAAAAACTTCCACATTCTATGGCAATGAAGTTAGTTTCATCAGTTTCAGTGCCAGTTAACTGACCACCCTAAATAATGTCAGCCAAGGAAAAACAAAAGTAACAGAATAAAAATAAAATACAAACATATTAATAACATTGGCATGAGTATGTTATAATTAATCAATTGCGTGATGTCAACTTTAGACCATAAACGGGTAACAGTGAAGTACATTGATTATAAGTCACTTTATGCAGGCAATATTTCTGGTTAATTTCAAAGCTTACCATATCTCATATTTTATCCATAGCATAAGCATGTATGCATATACATGCAAGCATGCACATATCCTTTTAAATTGTATATAATTTAAGTATATAACATGATATTATTATGAAATGATTGCTACAGTCATGAAAACTAACACACACGTTTTTGTATAGTTATCTTTTTGTAGTAAAGACACCTTAAATTGATACTCTTAGAAAATTTCCAGTATAAAATATAATATATTGTTCATTTCCATCATCAGGCTGCATATTAATCAGTTATCTTATTCATGCTATATATCTGCTTATCACATGTACCTTTTAAGCAACATCTTTCTATTCTCTAACTCTTGTTCCAAATAACCATGGTTCTTTTCTCTATTACTATGTTTCAATTTTTAGATATTACACATATAACTGAGATCATGATATAATTAAGGCATTTAAAATATAGGCTGAATTTTCAAAAATTCAAAACCTGAAATAGATCCAAATCAAAACATTTTTAAATATATCAACCTGAAAGCACAAGCAGAAAATTCTATTCTGGTCTCCTGTGATTAATTAATCTAAATAAATACATATTCACTAAAAGTATATATAAAATGGTCATTATATAAAATGATCTTCAGGCTGTGTCTATATAAAAAATAAATGAATGTATTGGGCCCTGTCATCAAGATATCTAATTATGCATGTACAAATATTCCAAGACTCAAAACACTTCCGGTATCAAGCATGTCAATTAAGGGATTCTCAACCTGGAATATATAATTTAGTCATTATATATTCATGAGGGAATAGTAGGTAGACATTTTGTCATATTGTTTTTTAGGGTTCAGAGTATTCATTAATGATGAATCTTCGTCGATTGTGCCCTATTTCCCTGAAAATTACCTGCTAAAATACTCCAGCACATAATAATATCTTAAAATTATTTTCCCCATTCCAATGGGTAGTTAGCTCATCATCTGCATGGCCTTCACATTTAGAAGAGATACATGCATGCTCTTAAAGGTGTTCGGAAAATCCCTAAAAGGCCATAATCACTCTCTTGTACAGAATCATCTATGAATTAATTATACTTTGCATGCAATTCAAGAATACTCAAGTCCAAAACTCCAATAAAACCTAATTCTGAAAGCACCCTTCAACTCCATATGTGGATTAAGACAATATTCTAAAGCGGGTCCAGTGTATCATTTTTGAGATGTTCAGCAATGATGAATGACAAATTGGAAAACCAAGTATCTTTCATAAAGGTAGAGAAGGGATACACAGCAAATGTACCCTGATTCCTTAAATGAATTGTTCATATTACACATGTAGCATTTATTCAGTGTAATTTAGTAATAGTTAATTTCCCAGCTATTTGATTTGTAGCCAGTCCTAAACTCACAGATACTTGCCTGTCTGTAACAAGGTTATGGTTACCAGACCAAATTATACTTAGAATCTCATTTATCACAATTTGGTGGAACTGATCCCTACCTGTAACTTTCAATTCAGTTGTTCGTCTTACAAGTTTTCCCTCATACTTAAGTTCGCAGGTGTAATTTCCTCCATCTTCTTCTTGAACTTCCTGAATTAGAAGAGCATTTCCTTTCTGTATTATTATGCTTCTCCACATTTTTGGCTTGCATTCCTATAGAGAAAATACATTAAGTAAGTAAAGATAAGTACATACATACATACATATATACACACATACATATCCAGTATTGGCAAGTTAGTAGTTTCATATTTGTATTCTCGTTAGTTTTCAAATTGCTTAAATCAATGACCAAGCAACACTGTAAATGTTCTATTTTGTCCAAATAAAATATTAGAACACATTAAGCGTCAATATAAAGCAGCAACTCCAAGAGGAAAAAGTCTGTAGAGGAATTTTACAAATGTGAAAAAGCATACAAGCTCCCCAATGCAAGAAAGGTAGAGTAGAACATTAAATGCCCCTAATAAGATCATAATTTCTTCTTAGTTCTTACTATTTCACAGGGGTATTTCCTAAGAATTTTCACAGGGTATGGCTTATTTAGCCATTTAGTACATCCCAGGAATATCGCAAACATAGACTTATGGAAAGCTTTTGTATTGGCAATGAAGCTTATAATTGTTTTTACTCAACATTCTATATTGTAAAAACAAATAGTAATGCTTCAGAGTGTCCTTCCTTGTAGTTACAGGATCCATTTGGTGAGGAAGGGAGTAAGCACTCTACCAAATTAGGCTTAAAAATATCTTTAGGAAGGAAAGAGGGCAGGCTGACACTTGTTGTTATGCTCTTAAAACTATAACTATGAAATACATTAAATATGCTCCTTTAATTTAAATTTGAAAAGAAATACGAATTGGTTAAATTAGGACATGGTTTGCTGTATGCACAGTAAAACACACACACACACACACACACACACACACACATCTATTAACTTTCTAAATTCAGTGATATATCACCACAGAATGAGCTTTGTGTCTAGAAGTGAAAACTTTTACTCCAGTGATAGGCTTGGGTGGGAGTCTCACTACTGGGACTAGAAAGGAATATGCAGCACTTCCAGAGGGCAACAAGGATATAGTAATGACCAAAAGTGCAGAAATTGTTCATCCAAGTTGCTATGTCTTTGGGGGTGTTTTCACAGATTACTTTCCAGACACCATGCCAGTTTGTCTACTATTCATCTCCAAAGTGTAACCAAACTGGTAGTCACATTCTGTATGAGTTACTTACACAAGCACAGGGGATACCCGCAAGGGAGTGCTAAATTGTGAAGGCAAAATTCTTTTTTCATCTAAGCTCAAACTCTCTTATTTGAGGCAGTAAAGAAACTGATCGTGAGACACGTAATGTGAACAATGTTTGAAAGCGTTTGCCACTTTCCCTACAGTGGTGTAGGGCTACAACATCTGCAGGAACATTATCTTCATCCTTCCTTTACACACATAGCATCCTAAACGCTGACAGAAATTCAGAACCTGTGCTGTCAATTCACAGCCGTGTGTGTGTGTGTGTGAGTGCGCGCGCGCGTGTTTAAATTATTTGGAAGAGTCAGTGTCCAATTATTAGTTTTTTACTATAGCATTTTTCTTTCTTTTATGTTAGCAGCAGTTTTGACAACAAAACACAAAAATTGGCACTTAAGGTCCCCGCAATAATATTTAAGACATCTGTTTGCTTTATGTTCAATACAACTACCCCCACACACTGGCAGAGAGTAAATAAAAGTAATACTATTGAGGGCATCTAGATATAAGGCTGCTTTACTCTCTAAGGTCTTTTTGGAGAACAGTTAAGGGTCTGTCTGAAGTTATATTACATACCATGTCTGGCAAGGTTTATCACCTATATGAGATTTGTTTCTGAGTTAGATCTTGGGATATAAGGTTTCTGGGAAAATGAAGAAAAAGTCTTCATAGAAAAAAAAAAATGCAGCCCAGCTGCCACTGTCTTCATACAATAATAATCCACAATTATTTTCTTATTGCTTCCAATTCTGATGGCCATTGATTTCTACAAAATTATTCAGAAAGTCATAAAACAGAAATACAGTCTCTCTGGGCATTTTGACAGGAAAAGAAAATGAAAACTGAGCTGCTGCTGTGCTTTCACACAGCAGTGATGGGAGCAAAGGAGCCCGCACACTCATTTTATTTTAAAACAAATGGGGTAGTTTTCTAGTGTCATTTTGGGAAAAGTTCATAGGCAATTACTTGTAATCATTTTATTTTTCCTACTCACTAGCTTGATGGAAAGGAAGGGGAAATTTAAACAGTGCAGAATGATTATAACTACTGGTAGAAAACGGTCTGGAATATTGACATCTTCTTTGGGATAGTTAGAGAGTCTTAAGTACCTTTCCAGTAGCCATCCACAGAATCTGTGTTTGGAAATTTTTTTTCTTTTTTAGAGAGAGAGAGGGTCATTTGGTTGCTTGCTTGCTGCTTTTTTCTTTCTTTTTGTGAAAACTGTAGGTTAGGAAAATGTTATTTGTCTTCAGATTCCTCCTACCTTTCTAGAGACAAGGTCATGGTGATGAAAAGGAAAATTCGCTCAGGGAAATACATTTCTAGATCAAAATTCACAGCCAACCCAAAATTTACTTAACGTCTTTAGACCTCAGTTTCCTACCCTGCATTATGCATATACTATTATCCATCATAATTAACCAGAACCCAGAGGAGGACAGGCCTATCCAAATCATTCTTGTTGGGCAAACTATACAGCATCAAGCACAGAGAACATTTTCCATTCCTAAACATCCCCATCCTGAAACATGTCTCATCCTAAACTCCAGCTTTACTTGATGATAATGAGCTATTAAGATAAAACAAATCTTCAGTTAGTTTTCACTATTATACAGAGAAATAATAATGCCAACCAGCTGTACAGGTATAGCTTCTAAGTGGCCAATGCAACAATAACCTTAACAGGTAGACACGCTTTGTTTGATCTTTAATTTTTTCTCTCTTACATATTATTAAGGAAAAACGAAAGTATCATTAGCCTAGATTCTTAACAAATGTGAAAAAAGTCAGCAGAAAACACTAGTTCAGTTTGAAAAGAGACATATTTGCTGAGTGAATTTATTGAAGTTAACAAAAACAAATCTTACTGATCCAACAAGAAAATAAACTGCAGAATATGTCTCTACTCCTGAATAAAAGGAGGACTCCAAAGAAACAGTTAAACAAACCTTGGCAGTATGATGCTAGATGTTCTACATTGCCATGAAGCACTTACATTGCAGAAGGTTAAACTGTAACTATTAGTAAAGTTTAGTAGCTGTTACTAAAGGACAATGCTACTGCGATAATATGGGGGAAACTACCATGAAGAGGAAACTGGGACTGAGGACAGGGAGAAGGATGGAGAAATATCTATACCTACACAAACATAATAATGGAAAATAATAATTTTAAGATTTGTTTTTACTTGAAAGGCAGATTTACAAAGAGAAGAAAACACAGAGAGAAAAATCTTCTGTTTGCTGATTCACTTCCCAAATAATCGCAATGGCCAGAGCAGAGCTGAGCTGAAACCAGGAGACAGGAGCTTTTTTCAGTTTTCCCACATGGATGCAGGATCCCAAGGCTTTTGGCCATACTCGGCTACATTCCCCCTAGCCATAAGCAGGAAGCTGGACAGGAAGTGGCGCAGCTGGGACACATACCAATGCCCATATGGGATGCTGGCATCACAGGTGGAGGGTTAGCCTGTAGAGCCATGGCACCAGGCTCATTTATATTTTTCAAGAAAATACAAAGTCAAACTCCAACAATATAGCATCAGTCTAGTCACCCCAAAATGGCAACACTCCAAATGCTTATTAACCAGTAAACAGCCAAATAATAGTATATCTGCTCACTGGAATATTTGAATGTTATTCAATAATAAGAAAGAATAATCTGTTATACATATATATGTTATGTATATATGACATAAATTAATCCCAAATACATTATATCAAATAAACAGGAAAAACTACATATTACCCAAATTACATGATATTGTAAAAGTATGAAATTATAAAAATAGAAACAGGAAACTTCTAATTATTTTTAAAACATTTAAATTTATTTTTAAAAGTTAGAGGCAGAAAGAATGTGAGAGACAGATTGATCTTCCACCTTTTGGCTCACTGCCTAAATAGCCACAAGAGCTGGGACAGGGCCAGGTCAAAGCCGGGTGTTTGGAACATTTAGGTATCTTGGTGGCAAGGACCCAGATGCTTGGACTATTACCTTCCTTTGCTTTCCTCAGACACATTTGCAGAGAGCTGGAGCAAAAATGGAGCAGACTAAATGTACACATGCACTCACACAGGATGCTAGTGTCACAGACTGTAGTCAGAATCTATTGCAAAACAATGTAGGATGCTGAAAATAGCTGAGATTATACCAAGGAATGAAACTGGACTTAGGGAACTGAGTAAAAAGGGACATGGAGAAATATACAAGTAGTAAAAACCTTTATTTTATTTCTAGTACAGAAATGTATGAAAGAAAAAATCAAACTATACATGTGAAAGGGATGACATTTGCTTTTCACTAATTATGAAGACTAGTATGTTGTTAGAACAAGTAGTCTAATTTCCAATTAGTCTTAAATATCACAGGCAAACAACATCATTAGCTTTTATGTAGTTATTCTGTTCTTTTAGTTGCTGCAATTATCAAGGACATAATCATTAAATTTTTATAACATATTTAGGATGTATGGCATCAACATATCTTTCAGAGAAGGATAAATTGAAGCCCCCTTTGATATCCAGTTACATTGGATATGTTCATAAAAGAATGGTGATCAGAATGTAGATTTGAGACTTAAAGCCTAGTATTTCTTATGCATATGAATGCCCATCCCTCTCAAATCAATGCAATGTTGCTTTTTTAGAAATTACAATGACTAAAGACCTGCCCTCCACTTCTAATACCACATCAATGAACAAAATAAGGGCAAAAATGTCTTTTATTTAATTATCTAAATGCTGTTTCTCATTTTCAATTTGTTTTGAACAGATTCAATGTGATTTGTAGACAATATGAGAACATGATATTCTCTTCCTCTTTCCCTCTATCCTTCTCTTAGTTTTCCAGAGACTCAATATGTCATTGAATTCAAATATAATAATATTGCCTTTCTCC